CCGGCTGCCCTCCGCGGGCGCAGCCACGGCTTGCCCCTCCCCGCGGGCCGCGCACCGAGCTGCCTCCGCGGCGCGCCCCGGGCTGCCCTCCCGCGGCCGCGCACCGGCTCTCCCCGGCGCGCCCGCGCCCGACCGGCCAGGCCCCTGCCGGGCCTAGGTGCGGCGTTGCTGGGTTCCGGTTTGGGACGTTATCGGGGACATCTGACAGCTCTGTCGGTGAGCTTTTCGAGCTCTGTTTTATAACACTGAAATCCGTCAAGCCAATTTTCCAACCCGTGCACGGATTTGAAACATCATGCATTTGTCAATGTTGAAAAATAATCGGTTTTCCACTGGATTACACAGATCTTCCAAATGTTAACACGTTTCATCATCAGTAGCAAAAAGCGCGCACTTGTTAGTATCACCACCCACTGCACACAAGGTCTCTGAGAAGTGCTGGGGAAGCGTCCAGAATCACAATAACGGGACGCCAAGTTTCCCAAAGTCGAATTTTACTTAGACGCTCACATTTTATCCTCGGCAAATAAAAGATTCCCTTATTTTCCTTAAAGTGACATGTTGCATTTCCCTCCCAGTTTTGCAAAACTGGCTGCCCAGATATCCATGTCAGCAGTAACCCCACTGTTTTTCTGTCTAAAATGGTGTTCCGTGAAAAAAGTGCTAGTTTTAGGTTTTGCAACTCCAAACATCACGCTAGAGGGGTTTGATTGTTTGTTTTTTTTTTTGCGCTGGAAGACAGCTGGCCAGAGTACTTTAGCGTGCAGCAAAATTCCTTTCTGCACACGGTTCATCCACACAGAATACTGAAAAGGCATGCCACCTTGCATGAGTTGAGATTTAAGAAGATGGAATGATGTTAACTGCTTTATCAAGTACTATGCTAAAGTAAAATTGGCTTTTTTAAAAATTACTGTGAGTGAGTGGCACGAGGAGCATAATGACCTGACGCCCGGATCCATACTCAGGATGCCAGGACACTGTCACTCCCCGCTGCTCTTGCACACCAGCAGCAAGCAGGATTAACCACGGCGCGCAAAAAGGGCCAATAACATCCACCGGTATTTTAAAATAATTTGGCCTCGCCAGACTCACCTAAGGGTCTCAGGGACACTCATCCCAGGATGCCAGACTGCATTTCAAACGGTTGTCAGATGTAAATAAGTCCTATGAGAAAAAAAAAAAAATAGCCAGAAAGCCCAAGTAGAGAACTCTGGGAAACGAACTCGGGGAAACCTAGTCTGGGCTGTTTTTTATTTTGGCTTTGACCCTTTCAGTCATAGCAAGGACGCTATCTGAGATCCACTTTCTTCTCGACAAATGTGTAAGTGTGTGACACAGCATTAACCGTATCGCTGCCACCTTGGCATAACTGAAACTCTGTGACTTAATTAAAACTTCCAGATCGCCCCCCCCCCAGCCCAGCCCCTGACAACCGCCGTCCTAGCCTGTCTGTAGGAGCCTGACCATTTTATATACCTCATATCAGTATGTGTCCTCAGGCAGTAGCGGTCTTTCTGCGACTAGCTCCTTTCACTTAGCATGACGTCCTCCGGGTCCATGGGTCCATCCACGCAGCAGCATACGATAGAGTTTCCTTCTTTTTTTAAAACTAAATAACATTCCATTATATGTAAAAAAAAATAATAATAATAAATCCTAAAGACTCCACCAAAAAAAAAAAAAGAACTGTTAGAACTAATAAATGAATATAGTAAAGTCGCAGGATACAAAAATCAACACACAAAAATCAGTTGCACTTTTCTACGCATTGTAAGCTATATGAGCCTATGCAAAAGGAATTAAGAACACATCCATTACACACAGCAATAAAGAAGAAGATAAATACTTTGGAATGAACTTAACACAACTGTGAAAGTCTTGCAACACTGATAAACAACTGAAATCATAATGAAAGAAATTAAGAAAGGCACAAATTACAAGGCAATGACGTCTATGCTTCACAGATTTGAAGCAGTTCATCAATTGTTTCAAAATCGTCCATACTACACGAGAGGGTGATTCTCACTCTCCACTACAAACCCTATCAAATCACAATATGCACTTCTTTACAAAACAAAACAGAGAAAAAATTCTAAAATTATATTTCTAAACTATAAAAAACCTCCAGCATACATGTGTCAAAGAATCCCTTGAGAAACAAGAACAAACACTGGAGGCATGCCAACTTCCTTTGGATTTCCCAATAATATCCACAAAAGTATCATCAATTAAAGTATGGCGGGGAGACTCGGTACAGTTGGGCCTCACTCCTTGGAATCCTAACACTTGGGAGGTCCGAAGGTGGGAGGATCGACTTGCAGGCCAGGGGTTTGAGACCCAGATCTGCGAGCAAGAGCAGCGACCCGTCTCTACAAAGCATGGAAAATTAGCTGGGTGGTGATCGCCACCTGTAGTTCAGCTGCGGGGGGAGCAGCGAGGATCGCGGTTGTGGCCAGGAGTTTTGAGGTTGCGCTGTGAGCTGTGATGATGTACCGGCATCCGCCCAGGCAACAGAGTGGAGCCACTCTGTTCTCAAACAAAAACAAAAACAAAACCAGTCATGGGGCGGGCATAAAACCAGATAGCAGCACGACTGAATAGAAATAAAATAGGCAGAGCCGCAGAAATAAACCCAAACAGTACTACAAGTCAGCTGATCTTTGAGGCAGCTAGCCTGCAAGGAAGATCACAATGGGGAGTGGAGAGGCGTCCCTTCAACCAGGGAGTGCTCAGCATGCAAACGAGCCTGCTTTTTTGGAATACTGGCGTCGACCGTTAAACTATTCCCCAGTAATCCCCAATCCCTGCAGGTACTAAACATCCCTTCCAAGCCCAGGGCTTCCTGGGTAACTCTCCCTGGCACCAGACCCTCGGGTTTGGGCCGTTACCTTCTCGAGCAAGCTTGTCTTACATTCTTACAAAACGATGTACAGGAACTACCCTCATTGTGGACGTAGTGAAGTCAAAGGAAGCACATAGGAATCAGGCCCCCAATAAAATGAGCGGCGGTGGCTCACGCTCTGTCATCCAGCACTCTGGGAGGCGGCTGAGCGGCGGGAGATGGCTTTAGCGGGCAGAGTTCTAAACCCGAGCCTGACACAGCAGCGCGACGACTCAAGCTTCTGCCGTCTCTACTACATAAATAGAAAGAAATTAATTGGCCAACTAATATATATAACGAAAAAACTGAGGCCGGGCCAAAATCAAACAAGGGTGGCCGGCATGGCCTGTAGTCGCGCAGCTACTCGGCCGAGGCCTGGAGGCAGGAGCGGATCGCTTGAGCCGCAGGAGTTTTGAGGTTGGCTGTGAGCGAGGCTGATGCCACGGCACTTCACTCTAGCCTGCGGGCGACAGAGAGGGAGACCTCTGTCTCAAAAAAAAAAAAAAAAAAAATCAGTTGCTGCGGTTCTCCAGGGCTTGGAGGAGGGTGAGGCGCTATCTGTGCGTGCAGAATGTATGGTGGGGAGGCGACACTGATTTGTGCCACAACTCAGACAAACCTCAACGAGGATATTCTCAGAGAACAATTTTAAAACGGGCAAAGGACCTGCATAGACATTTCTCAAAAGAAGACATGCAGATGGCCACAGGTTCATATGAAAGCATATAAGTGCTCAGGATCCATGAATTGTCAGGGAAAGACAAATTAAAATCGCAATGCGATGTCACCTCACCCTTTTTGGAGACCTGCTATCAAAAAGACAAAAAAGGGTGCGGCCGTGGCATCAGCCTCGCTCACAGCAACCTCAA